GATTTTAGAGCTTTATTAGGAGGGGAAGGGGGTGGGGGAGAGAGCCAGGCCTGGGGAGGAGTAGAGCGGGAAAGAGAGAAAACACAGAAAGAGAGGGAGGGAGGGAGGGAGGGAGGGAGAGAGAGAGAGAGAGAGAGAGAGAGAGAGGTGGGGGTCTGCGCCCCACTTTTTTAGGGTGGGATTGCGTGACCACACAATGGGTACATAGTTGCCAGCACCTGCTGATGACGGAAGACGCCAGACCCTGAGGAATGAGAGCAGAATCCTAACACTCACCTGACACTACATAATGGTAGCTAGATAGCCGCTCACGTTTCTGAGGGAATCGATAAAATGATAAGGATGTTGCAAAGATTCAAAACTCAGTTTCCTCTGGATGGACTATGGACTCAGATATGAAAGCTAGGACCACATATAGGCAGCCCCAATTTCTTCGCATGTGTGCATGCAAGAGAGCAGGGCCACACCCCTCGGAAGCTCCAACACTGTGTTGCTCCTTGGATTCTCTTAGGCGCCATCAGTACCATCCATCTTCAAGCACATTTTATCTTCTCTCATTCATAAATTTTCCCTCAAAATGGAACCGAGGGGCACGAACACACAGAAAGCGACGCGAGTCCCTCTTTTGTTCCCCTCCTCCTCGGCCACTCAGCTCAGCTGATACCCCGCAGATCATGTTTTTCTCCTAGAAAATAGAAACGTCTTCTACAATTCCCATCACAGTGTTAGGCCCATGCCCGATGTCCACAACTGTGGGAGTTAAGGACAGGATTTAGAATCACTCACCCCGAGTCTGAATCTTAGTTCTGCTACCTCTTAGGCCAGGTACAGTGGTGTGAATCAAACTCCGCAAACTGACAGTAATGTCCTATTGCTAAAGGCAACGTTTGTGTATCTCATTGAACATGGAGAAGCTGAGCTGGTGCTTAACTAGGGCTTCCATCCTTACCGGCCCGTGTTCATGGTCCTGGAAGGTACTTTATGCCGCCAGAGAGAAAGGTAACTACCAACTCCAGCTACAAACCCTGTAGTCTACAACAATGACCTGCCTGCGTGATTTGCCGATGTATTAGTGGCACAAAGCTTGTGCAAGTAACCAGCCGCTCTCTGATTGGATTTAATGTCCACTCCATAAGTTGGAGCGCATGCCTGACACTGCTCAGGTAGCCAAGGACCTGAGATTATGTAAGCCTTGGGCCTAGGGGATTAAATGAAGATGGTTCTGCTAAAGGAACAGAGCAATAAAACGACTCAGAATGACATCCTGCTATACTCATTTTTGGGGGGCCCCAAACAGCTTGACCACACAGCTGCCATGGCAGGCTTAGAGGCCCAGACACAGCTTCTGTGACAGGCTTACTGGCAGAAAACACCCAGATCCAGGAGAAGCCATAAGCTGACCCCACCCAGGGAAGACCTGCATCTAAGGGGAAGTACCTGACTTCTCGAACATTCCAACCACTGTATGAGATCATCAGATGTCCCTGAGCCTAGCACACACCTATTTTCCTTTTACAGATACCCTTAGACAAATGTCAGCCAATCAGGATCCTGAACCCTAGAAATCCCCCGACCCCAACCTCTGCTATGATAAAAAAAAACAAAAACCAAAACCCTACCCTGCCTGGGCTTGGGGCTCTCTGCTCTCACTGCTGTGTTGGAGAGACAGGTAGTTCAAGCTCCGAGCTTGAAATAAAGGCTCTTTGCTTTTACATACGGGATTCAGTCTCTGTGGTGGTCTTTTGGGGGTCCCTGCAGTCTGGGCAGTACACTCATCATGCTCTTTCCTCTTCAGGCCTAGAATGGAACTGGTGATATTAACTACTACCTGGGCTACAGAAAGAGTCAAATGAGGTTAATATATATAAAGTGCCTCATGTGTATGAAATGCAAGAATTATTAGCTAGCATCATTAGAATGACTTAAATATTTATGGAATTAATTATGGGTAACGAAGAGCATCACAACAGTAGACAATTTGCTAGATATGTACTTTTATATCAGTTCACAACATTTATTTAATGGGAAAGCATGATTTTTCTCATCTCTCATTTAATATATTTGATATGCCAAGGTGTCTCTAATAAGATACTAATATGTGTTTGAAAATAAAAAGTTACAAAGCCGGGCGTTGGTGGCGCACGCCTTTAATCCCAGCACTCGGGAGGCAGAGCCAGGCGGATCTCTGTGAGTTCGAGGCCAGCCTGGGCTACCAAGTGAGCTCCAGGAAAGGCGCAAAGCTACACAGAGAAACCCTGTCTCGAAAAACCAAAAAAAAAAAAAAAAAAAAAAAAAAAGAAAAAGTTATATTGTTTTGTTTCCTGCAAAACCAATGGATAGCTAGTTAATCTTTAAGGCTCTATATAGCTTTTAAATTGTATGATTTTATGCTCATGGGGTTTGGCTGATTCTAAAAAAAATTATTTTCTTTCTTCTTTAAACGATGCTTGGCCATGGTTATTGAGCATATCTGCCCCATGCTTCTGTTGGTTTACCCTACTATCATAGTCATGGCTCCACGGCTGTAAACAGACACCGTGACCAAGGCAACTCCCATAAAGGAAAGATCAAATTGGGGGTCTTGGTCGCAGTTTCAGGAGACTTAGTCCATTATCATCATGGTGGGAATCATAATGGCAGGCTGAGAAGTAGCTAAGAGCTACATCCTGATCCTTAGGCCAAGAAAGGTGATGTGGAGCAAGAGAGGCAGGGCCTGGGATGGTCTTCCTCTGAAACCCCCAAATCCACTCCCCGTGACACACTTCCATCAACAAGGCCACACCCACGCCAACAAAGCCACACTTCCCAGTCCTTCTCAAATAGTGCCAGTTCCTGATGACTAAGCATTCATTCAAATACATGAGTCCATAGGGACCGGTCTCATTCAAACCACCACACCTATCTATTAACAGCGCAAAGAGAATTAATTCTACTCTCCTTGTGGAGATTGAATGGCCACAGGGAAGTCATTTATGACAGCCGAAGGGCCCGGACCCCACAACAAGCACCAACCACTGACTCTGATGACAATAGGGAGGAGGTAAGAAAGTAGTCTTCTGGGCTGGAGAGATGGCTCAGAGGTTAAGAGCACTGGCTGCTCTTTCAAAGGTCCTGAGTTCAATTCCCAGCACCCGCATGGTGGCTCTCAACCACCTGTAATGAGATCTGGTGCCCTCTTCTGGCCTGCAGGATACATGCAGACAGAGCACTGTATACATAATAAATAAATAAAAAAAAAAAAAAAAAGAAAGAAAGAAAGTAGTCTTCTGGCCTGGGAAGTGGAGTGTGACTCTCCAGGAGTCTGGCGGCACTCACACATACCAGGACCCAGTAAATAACTGCTCTTGGGAGGGGAAATATGATGGGAACCTTTTGGCCCTCAGCCTTACACACAGCTTTCCTGAGTAGGAGCAAGCCTGTGCCGAGATTCACTGAGGGGTCAGCAGATGGATGGAGACCTTCAATTTCTTTCTGGTCCACAAAACAAACAAACAAAAAAAAACTAGAGACATGAACAGATGATTTCAGTGGCCTGAGGCATTTCGATGAGAGTTAGATTACCTCTGAACAGGCTTTCAAACACGAGGCATTGGAAGTGGGAACCACTGAAGAGGACCGTCTCCATGGAGCTCCGACATCTTTGGCCAGATGGGGATGGCCTGGGATGTGAGTTTTACACAAAGCAGCACTGGACAGCCAGGAGCTTTCGTGAATGGAGAAAACTCCACCTCCTGGCAGCTGCGCAGAAGGTGTGTGCTGTAGGAAGGGATGAAGCCCGGATCAGAGCTCTGAGAGGCGGGGCTCAGGGACTCCCTGCCAAGGCCACTAAGCTGGCAGTTCCCCCCTGTGTCATCCTCTCAGTGGGCAGATAGGGCGTTTGTGCTACTGAACGCAATGGTCAGGATCACAAATTCCATCTCCTCTCCCCGTGTTCAGCAGCCCCTCATCTGTGAGCGGGCGTTGTACTAGTTGACTGACCATCTAGTGCCGACCATCACATCACCTCCGATATCGCAGAGAAAACAGGAAACGACAGACTGAGCGGAAGCAGAAGCCTAATTTCCCGTTACATCATTATATAAACAACTCCTGGTGTGTCCACCAGCCAGTGCTCATCTTTGCCTTCCAGCCTCAGGAGAGTGTCAGGAAGTAATCAAGGGTTTTCAGAGCAACAAACTTACCTTTAGGTTTCTACCCAGCAGGGCCAAGACTGAGCAGGAAAAAAAAAAAAAAAAAAAACAAAGACAAAAACAAAAAGTATTCCTTTAGATAAAAGTCACAACTCAAAGGGGAATAATTCAGTCCTCTCCACCCACCCCAAACATATGCATCCAATTTCCTCCACAAAAAACAATCACCGTTGTCCAGTCTCACTGTTAGTGGGAGAGAACCTTGGTCCTGGCATCCAGCAAGACTGCGAGGAAACGCTTCATTGTTTATTTTTAAAGTGCAGGCTGCTTCTCAGGAGCTAAAGGGAAGTCTTTTGTATAGTTTTGATGGAAGATGGGGATAGAATCAGCAATGAAGTAAGGCTTTTAAAACACACATGTAGACATCCCGCTGGCCCATGAACTCAGAATGTCTTCCTGGCCACACCCAGAGGACATTCTGTCCAGTGCCAGCTGGGCAAGGTGAGCCTTAGTCTTCTGAAGCAAAAGGATTTGAATCCATCTATACTTGGCAGCTACAATTTTGCCATATGCCGAGAGAGAAAGAGAGAGAGAGAGAGAGAGAGAGAGAGAGAGAGAGAGAGAGAGAGAGAGAGAGAGTGTGTGTAAGGGTTGAGTTGCATACCGCCTCGTCTTTTGATGTATCACAGCTGAGTCAAATTCATCCCGACACTCAGAGGACATAAATAGAAAGATCTGGGGGGTAGAAATCGGCACGTCTTGGGCTTCTCAAGTCCTTGTTGGATGTTCCGTCTTCCCCAGCTTTCTTGTCTATGAAGAAACAAGATCAGAAGAAGAGCCCTTGCTCCAGCCTTGGAGAGTCTTGGAACATCGGATCTGCAAGCTCAATTGAATCACAGAGATTTCTTAGAACAGAGTGTCTATCCTTGTCCAAGATTAGGAGGATGGGAGTAAGCCTTCCGCAGACAGCTGACTTTGGACTGAATTCTCAGAGCTAGTCTGGTTCTCAGCCTTTACCATCCCGACCCCATTCGCTGATTCCTCCAGCAGAAATCAGCTCATCAGGGCACCTAGGATGATGCAGGTGAATTACCAATTTTACATTCCTCCCTTCTTAATGGTCCTCAACCTTCCTAATCCTGTGACCCTTTAACACAATTCCTCATGTTATGGTGACCCTCCAACCATAAAATTATTTCATTGCTGCTTCATAACTGTAATTTTGCTATGGTTAGGAATCATAATGTAAATAAATAGCTGATCTGCAACCTCCAAAGGGGTCATGACCCACAGGTTGAGAAACACTGCTCCAGGGTTTTATAAAACATAAAATATCTTATTGACTTTTTTGAAGTTTTTCCAAAGTCAAATGAAAAATGTCATTGTATGTTATACAAAAACGGTTACCCGAGTTCGGCATGCATTTACCATGAAGAACGCTGCACTGAAGAGGAAGAAGTGGATGATGTTGAAGTACAAACCAGGGTGCTGAGGTGACCCTGGAGAGTCAATATGTCAAGTGTGGCAATAAATATTTCTGAAGTAATCCCTAAAGGGCATGCCCCTGCCCTGAAGAGCTTCTGCTATTTGCTGGGGGGGTGGGGGGGGTGGAGGGGTGTCAGGGGTAATCATCAAACAATTACAGGACAGTAAAACTTAAAGCAAACAAAGGGAGAGTTTTTAGGAGCTTTCCTGAGTGAAATCTGAGACAGGAAAGCTCAGGAGGCCATTTAGTCTATTATGTGGAAGTCTCAAGATTAGCTGCCCCTCTGGAGGGCTCACATAATTAGCACTGTGCTGGGCAATTACTACAATTATTATTTCTCAAGATACAGAATTAAAAACCCTTGAAAGGGCTTTGGGAAAAAAAGAGGCAGCAGCATGCATGTGTGCATGCCTCTCTCTCTCTCTCTCTCTCTCTCTCTCTCTCTCTCTCTCTCTCTCTCTGTGTGTGTGTGTGTGTGTGTGTGTGTGTGTGTGTGTGTGTGTGTATGTGTGTGTGTCAGGGTGGGGAGGAAGGGAGAAAAGAGAGGAAGGAGAAGAGGAAGGGCAAAAGAGAGGAGGAGAGTGTAAGGGAGGGAGAGAAACCCAATCCAGGCCAACAGCCTACTCCTACTTGAAAAAATCCCCTAAGATCAATAGAGAATTGTTGAAGCCACCATCATCCACAAATACTTTCAAGATATTTAAATATATGAGTAGCATTTAATGTACTTTTCAGGACACTGTACATGAAAACAGATTGTCTATCACCCTACCCCCAGTCTCCGGTCTGTCTAATGACAGGGTGTTTGGAAAAGGTGCTTAGAAGAGAGTAGACAGCGATAGAAGAGACGAATTATGTCATTAAGTAGTATATAATTACCAATGCAGATTTAATATCGCTGTATTTATGCCCGTTTTCAAGGTCCGTTTACATCATTATCTTAGATTATTCCCGTAGATGTCTACTGTGCCTTCTGAAATGCTGTGTCCTAAGAAGGGGTCTGTGCCGTGGGTATAGCTTTCACCACATTCCGGTGCAGGAGGAGAGATGCGTGACAGCAAAGCCTTAGGTACAGCAGCAGCTTATGTTGACACACGTTCTGCCTCTGCCGTGGAGGTAAAAATGGAGCAGTGTGCTTGGGTGGTGGAGATCAGAAGTACTGCCATCCCGGTCCCTCTCCTGAAGCCAAATAAAATATAAAAATATTGAAAGATGAAAAGTGAAAACGCCATCACCTTTCATAAAACTAGGAGACAGCCACAACCCCAAACCACAATCTACAGAGAATGGATGTCAAGTTCAGTGAAATTGGAACTGGACTAGGGCGACTCTTTGGGTTAGACAGGATGCTGTGAATCTTTAATAGGATGCAGAGTTCTCCAGGAGAGGCTGAACTACCACTGACTCAAGTGTCGGCATGTAGAAATGTGCACAGTGAGAAGCAGTCTCTGGTAGCTGTTGCCTGAGAAACTTGCCAGAAAATTATCCAGGACAGAGACCACTTGAGGTCAGAGAAAGTCTGATTCAACAAAATGACCCAACACACTACCTTGATTCTTACATTAAGGATGTAATCCCCCTCTTCAAGTATTACCTAGCCAAATCCAAGTCAAATCCAGGCTACCTAAACTCTTGTATAATCATTGTTGTTAGGCATGCTTTCTGGGCCACTGAAGATTTATTTATTTTATTTATGTAGAACAACATTTTTATTCTAAACACTTAAGTAGCTCTAAAAATGAGCTCTATATTTTTCTGCATTTTTAAGGGCATACATCCAATAGCTTAAGTATTTTTCCATAACTCAAGGTCATTACAACTGACACCAATTATCATAATTACTTCTATACAATGATGGCTTTAGGATCTAAAGTTTGGTGGATTTGAAGCTATACTTTACAGCTTAGTTTCTTATAACATTTCTAACTAGCTCTCCCCTCAAACATTCCTAACAGTCTGGTAGTAGTAGATTCAAGCTTTTAGGATTCCCATGCTTAAACAACTGGTAGTTATTGAGGTGTTCCTTAAGAATACAAAATTAGGACACTTAATTGGACAGCTGAAGTATTTCTCAAAGATTTCCCTCTCTGATTAAGTGAGCAATGATTTAATAATACACAGAAGTAACTATAAAATGTACAAATACACCCTGATAAACTCAACCAATGTCTACTGAACGGGAGCTCAAAAATCCCGAGAGACGTTCCTGCGATATGGGACATAAAGTGACGTTAGCTTGAGGGCAAGACAGAGCGGTGATCCCAGTCAAGTGTGAGTGACAGCTGTTGCTTTTGTAGTTTTACAAGTCCTTTGACCTGATGACATATTACAGGAGCTGCTTGCTGTGAACTGGCCTTTGTCTCATCTACAGCCGTAAAACAGGAATCCCGAGCTATGCTGACACCCCCTATTTATCATCTATCTATCTATCTATCTATCTATCTATCTATCTATCTATCTATCTATCTATCTATCTATCTATCTATCTATTCTTGCTTCCTCTTCTTTATTTGTAATTCCTTTCTTGTGCTTGAGAAATACAGCTTTCATTTGTCAGTGTTTGTACTTATCTTTTCAGTCCTAGCTGACACACAAGAAAGCCATTTCAGAATTGCTAAACCAAATTCCCTGAGACATACATTTACCAACATCTGTGGGACATGATAGGTTTTGTACATAGACCTTCTTGCAATGGCCTTTAGTATATACACACATGTATAGTCACAATGCTGTTTTCCAGGTCCCATTAGTTAGTCCTTGCCATTATGTCCTGTTTCAAATTCTCCCAGCACAGCATTTAAATTTAAGTAACTATGGAAAGGAGGAGTATCCTTGTTAGCATTAACTGTCTACTTGACACAGCCTAGAATCACCTGGAAGAAAAAAAAGAGTCTCAGCTGATGACTGTCTTCCTCAGGTTGCTCTGTGTGTGGGCATGTCTGTGAGAGCGTCTTGACTCTAACTGATGTGGGAGGGACCAGCCCACTCCAGGGGTTACCATTCCCTGGACAGGCAGTCCTAGGCTGTCTGAGGAAGCTGGCTAAGCAGGAGCCGGAGTGACTCAGCTAGCAAGCAGCATCCTCCATACTTCTTGTACTCCCCTGGTCATAAGTGAGAACCCTGGACAGAGGGTCTCAGAAGAGCAAGCAGCCCTGTCTTCAGGTTCCTGTCTTGAGTTCCTGCCCTGATTTCCCTCAGTGATGGACTATGATCTGGAAGTGTAAGCTCAAATGAACTCTTTCCTCCTTGAAGTTGCTTTTGGTTAGAGGGTTTTAAGATGAAAGGCGATCCTGTGAGGCCTTCATCTGGTTGAACAAACAGACGGGTGTGGTACAATAATCAGAGAAGGGCTGCCTGTACCTTTTCTTTAGCATTCTATTCTCATTTCCTGTTCTGTTTTCATACATCCTGTGAGTAACTAGGAAGTTTACTCCTTGTATATTATACACACCAATGAACTGATGTGTGCACGTGCCTTTAACAGCCTCTGTTGTCTTACCTAAAGGGTAGCATACTAGACATACTCTCTGCATTCTGCTTTTTCTCCATGAACATTATACACTGTCACTTCATAGACATTCTTCACCCTGCTTTTGATTTTTGCTACATAGTATTCCATATATGGGTGAGCCGTAGCTAACTCAGGCATTTTCTATTTGCAGAATGTAGACCTAGACCGTTAGCTGTATTTTGCAATTATAAGCAGTGCTTCCCCAAACAACCTTGTGTACAAGTACTTTCTGGCCATTGGAGGTGTCTTCTGGATCGGATTTCTAAAATGGGGTTGCTGGGCAAACAGCAAGTTTCTCTGCAACTTTACAAGGCACGTATTTCACTGGAGCAAGATCCCACCAGTTTAAATTCCTACAGGGAATGCACATGAGCATCTACTCATCCTCAATGTCACGAACAGAATGTGTTATAAAGGTAATTTTTGCTTGCTAACACAATAGATATGAAATGCTATCTCAGTATCGCATTCCTATAACTAGGAATGTAGACTAGGAATGTAGACAGCTTCCCCGTTTAAGGCTCATTTTTATAGCATTCCTTGTGAATCATCTAGCCATCAACACAGAATCCAGCAACAAAAGGGCTCAGATACTTTGAGAGCAAACCAGGAAAAATACACCTTGCAGGTCAAGAGCTCTGTTTGCAGGGAATAAGTTCCTGTTTGTCCTATGTTTGTTTGCCCCATCTGCACCGGATGTGCTTGGTCACGTGAGGGCAGGAGGTACATGGACAGGAAATACATCAGGGTGTATGCTTGCCTCTGATTGGACCCCATGGGTAATATGGTGAATTATGGGTTTTGCCTTTTTAAGCCTCTGCGGACTCGTGGCCATTTTCTGGGAACCCAGGAACCACTGCAAACAGAGGTGAAGAGGAAT